TCACCAGACAGAGTGAGGATGTGGGTGACCATGAGTGATTCTCACCTTGTGGCTCTGTGCCGCTATGTGACTCCGGTAGGTTCTAGTGGCCCCCTCAGGGCAGGGTTTTCACTGTTTGTTCAGTGAGTCCCAGCAGGGTATGAGACCCGCCCTGGGCAAACATTTAGATCCGGCTCCAGGTGGGACTAGGATGTAGAGCCTGTTGCCACCAGCCAACTAACTCAAGGCCAAGCCAGCCCTGGGAGACTCAGAGCGCTCTGACCTGGGCCTTTCCAGAGGGGCCTTTAGAACCACTTCCCCATTCTGCTGCTCCCTGATGACATCACACAGGTCATCACCCAGTCTTCTAGAACAGTGTCCCCAGGACCTGGCCTTGTTGCCCTTGGCAACCTGGGAATTTGCTCTTCCCAAGTTGGAGCAGGGTTACCCCTGAGGAGGGGGTGGAGGAGAAGGGGCGGGGGGGGGGGGGGGGACCTTCTCCTCATCTCCCAGAGGGGAGATCGAGGCAGCCATCCGTCTGTCTGACTAGATGGTGAGTAGGAATGGGCACCCCTGTTCCTCTTAATAGAGAAGCAAGTTAAAACTTGGAGACAACTTGTCCAGGACACTGGGCAGGGACAGGGACACTGGGGGTTAAGGCAGTGCTGAATCTGGAGGCTGAGAGAGGATAATGACTGGGCCAAGGTCACCGACAGGCTAGTGGGAGAAGTGTATATGTAATGAGGAGGAGGGACCAAGACTCAGTAGCTGGGAGACTCTCTCCTTTGTCCCCGCTCCTTGGACCTTTGTTTCTTCATGAGGGGGTGAGGGTAGCTGATGTCAATCTGAGGGTCTGTAGTTCTAATGGAAGCACACAGTAGGGTGGATGAAGTGGGTGTTGGGTACAAGGTCATGGGGTGGCTCCAGTCAGGTACCCTAATCCTTGCTCCATGGTCATCTGGGGGCATTGAGTAGAGTCTAGCATGTGGTCCCCTACCCAAGGAATCACAGTCTTGAGGTACTAGACATCCCCATATGGATTCTGACTTGCTGTTTGATACAGGGGTGTCCCTGTACCTCCTACAGCCTCAGCTGTTCTCTGGCGGGGGCATGTGTAAGACCTAGCACTTGATCAGCGCCCTGGGTAATGATTCCTCACATTCCCCTGACGCTTCTCAGTTTGCTAAGCACCTTGTCATTGTACATGGTTTTGCCTTCCACACCCACTCTGACTCCTGCTCAGTGATGCCCCATTCTGTGGCTGACACTCAAAGAAGAGCCCTGCCCTGGAGCCCTAGAGAAGCACCTTGATCCCCTTCTGTGGAGGGGACTTGTGCGGCAGCCTTTTCCACTGTTTTGTCTTTTAGAAGAAACTCAACAACCATCATGTCAAGATGTTCCCTTAGTGCTTTTGGTTGAAAACCTGGCATTTTCAAACATCATATTCCTCCCTGCTCCCCCTCCAGTTTTGCTTTTGATTCCCAGTTGGAGAGTGAAACCAGACTTGTAGTGCTTCACAGAGAGTGGCTCTGATTCCAGATAAGGAATCGGGGCTAAGGAAGGACCTGTCACCTGCCCTTGATTACACAGCTAGGAAACGGTAGAGCCAGGATTTGAGGCCATGTCCACAGCCAGGCTCTAGGAAGCTGGAGTGACTGAGTTCTTGAACCTCCTCTGCAGACTCCTCCTCTAGTCCCACCTGCAAGCCTTTCTGGCTCATTTTGCTGCCCTTGAGCAGATGGGGCCCTTCTCTTTGCTGCTCAAGGGTATTTTGAGTGTAAATCTGCTTTGATCTGGTCATGTTGGTGAGGGTGGCAAGAGCACCAGAGCCAGAGATATATAGCTCAGGGGCACATTAATGAGTAGGATGAGGCCTGGCACACTTCTGCCCACCCACACTGGTCAGCCAGTCTAGCCTGAACCCAGGCTACTACCACCTCAGACTGGGGCACCAGGTTACTCACCTTTTCTGACTCAAAACCTAAGATTCATTCTTGGTTAATCTGTACTGGAATCTGAGTGATGATTTGGTTCTTGCCATCTATACCTCCTGAATCTGGGTTTGTATAGTGTTACCCACTCAGATTTGCAGCTATCTGGGATGGACAAGTCCTGTCAGTTTGCCCTCATGGCTATCTCTGGCTGTCATCCAGCCTTATCTCTTTTCCCTTGGACTGAGTGCTGGGCATGGTTCACTGCCCTGGTACCTGCTTTCTACTGGAATGCTGTGATATTGGGGCCGTAAGAAGGCCAGTGTTACCATTTATTTTCCTCATGTCTACAGGCCACAGAGATGGATCAGCCAGGTGACATCATTGATGGTGTCAAGTGTGGCAGTGGTAGTGAGGTTGGCCCAGGATCGGACATTGTTTCATTCTGCTGTGCATGGGGTCGCTATGAGTCGGTTCCAACTAGATGGCACCTGACAACAACAACAGGCCACAGAGCAGGCTTTGGATTGCCCTCAACCTGAGAGGAAAGCTGGCAGATAAAACCACTGGCCTTCCTGGAGTCACACACTTAGTGGAGTTGGGGCAGAGGCAGGGGAGGTGGGTGCCTGAGTGCTATAGCCCTGGCTTCCTGAGCCCAGGTCCAGCCTCCCTGCCATTTGATTTCAGATGTATAAAGGGTGTGAGTTAGAGAGGGTGGTGTGATTATCTATGTCCCCCACACTGCAGATGGGAGGCCTGGAGATCTAAGGTCCTAATGGCATCACACAGGCCTCATGGAGATCTGCAAGCCATTTGACAGAATTCCTATGCCTGTGTATAAGTAGACTTTGCAGAATATCTCTTGGGATTACTTGCCATCACAGCACCCTACTCACTTCAACTCATTTTTTAACTTCTTTTAATTGCGTATTAGGTGAAGGTTTATAGAGCAAATCAGCTTTCCATTCAACATTTCATACACATTGAGTTTTATGTCATTGATTGCGATCCCCACAATGTTTCACATCACTTATCCCACTTCCTCCCAGTGTTTCCATTCCTGCTCCTTTCCTAACCCTTCTGAACTTGATCCTTGGATAAATGGTGCCCTTTTGATCTCATATGGTTGATTATTCTCACTTCCACTCATCTTAAAATTTGGGACCAATTCACAAACATCTCAGAGCCCTGAGCACATCAGGAAGAAACACCTCTATTTGTGAATCCACCGTGACAACTCATCTTTCTCTTAGCACCTTTAAGAAAAGCTATTCTATCCCAGAGAACAGCTAGGATGCTGAGATTAGGAGGTCCCTGAGGATTCTAAATTCTGATTCCCTTATTCTACCCTGGGAAAGTAAAGGCCAGAAGGACAGGGCAACCAGGTCATAGAAAGGAACCCTGGGCTGGGAGGAGGCTGAGAGCTGAGTTCTGGTCAGAATGGCCAGAGCATTCACTGTGTGACACAGGGCAAGTGGTGGCCACTCCCTGTGGCTCAGAGACAGCCTCCGTAGGGTTGTCAGGCATCTCACTGGGGTGAGTTAATGCTCAGCCTTGGGCCCTCTGCCACACTTACACTGGCCCATCCTCAGAGAAGTGAAGCTGCTATGCTGCCCTCATGTCACAGAGAGTAGAGGGAGCCTGAGGGCCCAGGGGCAGGTGGCAGCCTCCCAGGCTAGAAGGAGTGGATGGAATGCTATGTGGTTATGGGGTTCTGGACAGCTTTGCCTGGATGCCTGGGGAGGGACAGTGGAGCTCCCGAATTGGGACAGAATCTCCTGAGAGCCTCTTGTAGTGTATGTATAGTTCATGGAAGGTCGGGCTCTTTCTCTCTCTCTCTCTCACTCTGTTGTGTGTGTGTATGTTAGGGAGGGTAGGAAGTGGACAAAGGGTTAGGAGTCTGGGAGTGGAGAGGAAACTCACCAAAGTTCCTAGCTGCGAATGAGACTGGAGGGAAGATTTTGCCAAAGTCTGGTCAGCTTATGAAACTTGAGACCTGTGGGTTGAATCACCTAGTGGCTGGGTTTGCACACATGACAGGGAATCAGGTTGGGTGTGTGTAGATTTGGTATGCCTCTAGGTTGTAGGAGATGCCAAGTGTGGATACCTTTGAGTTGCTGTAGGGCTATCCTCCCTGGGGTTAGTGTGTTAATTATTGTGGGGGGATGTGCCCAGCCTTGGGTCTCTAGGGTATTGTGTGTGGGAGTCTCTGAGGACAGCAAGCCAGTGTATAAGTAAATTGTTGCAAAGGAGTGTACCTGTGAGAATAGGAAGTGGGTGAATAAAAGGAGTTCACAATTAACTTCCTGAATTCCCCACCTCTCAGAGTCCACTCAATCTTGTCTCCTCTCCACCCCGCCCCCAGCCCTGCCAGAGGCTGGCCCCTCCCGGGCTGGGTCTCCTCCCGGGCCTGGCGGGGGCGGGCGCTAGGACCCTGTGAGGCGGGGCGGGGCGGGGCGGGGCTGTGGGCTCTGTCAGCTTCACCTCCGCAGCTTGGAAAATACCCAGCCGAGGCGAGCGGAGCCCCCGTAGCCCCTGAGCTGATCTCGGAGGGAGGGGAGGGAGCAGGGAGAGGGGGCGCGCGGGGCGGGGGGCACGGGGCTGGGCGGAGGGACCCACTGCTCCTCCCCCCCAGAGCCCCCGCGCGGCCCCGGTCACCTGGGCAGCAGCGGCAGCGGCGCTCGCACCCCGGGCCCTGGTGAAGCAGCGGGCACAGGTGAGCGGGCCGGCCCCACGGGCGCCCCACCCCGCCCCCACCACTCTCCGGCGCCGCTGCCGAGTTAGTTGAGCCGGTCCGCCCCCACTGCGTGGGGTCCCTCAGGACCGCCTGTCGCCTCGGTCCCGACCCTCACTCTGGTCCCGATAGTCTTATGCACAGGACCTTGACCCGAAACACAGCTTCCACACTAGCACCTGGGAGGGCTAGGGTCTCTCTTTGGGAGGTCGCCCCCGTGACTGTCCCGTGCCCGCTCGCCTCACCCGCGGGCTAGTCCCTGTTTATCTGGAACTCTCTGTCCGCTGGGGACCCTGGAAAGCCCCACCCGCGCCCCCAGCACACTGACTCCCGTCCCCAAACCGGTCTTGCAGGTCCCAGGAAGGTGGCGTCAGCATCTGCAGCCGCGTCGACGTTGTAGGAGCCTCCGCGGAGGACCAGGAGAGCCGGGCTAGGAACAGGGCTCTGGGCCTCCAGACACTCGCCATGGAGAAGCCAGCTGCCTCAACAGAGCCCCAAGGGCCTCGGCCCATCCTGGGCCGTGACAGTGTCCAGGTGCCGGACGACCAGGACTTCCGCAGCTTCCGGTCAGAGTGTGAGACCGAGGTGGGCTGGAACCTGACCTACAGCAAGGCTGGTGTGTCTGTGTGGGTGCAGGCTGTGGAGATGGACCGGACACTGCACAAGATCAAGGTAGAGTTGTCTTGCCATAGGTGCCACCTTCACTGCACCTATACAGCCTCTGATACAGGTCTGCTTCCTGGTTGTGCTTCTGGGCCTAGACACTCTTACTGTGGAGCAGGAGGAGGCACACCTTTCAGGGCCAAACACCCTCACACATATGGGCCAACTGAGGCCTGGAGAGGGGATATGACTCACTCACTTAGAACCCCAGCACAACCCTGCCTATTCCAGGGAGGTGGGCTGCTTCAAGGCCCATCTAGGAGAGTGGTCTACCCTCTACCCTATAGGAGCCCTCGACCCTATAGGTCTTCACCTGGTCCTTGACTTGAACCACCACAGGTGGGATCTCCCACTGAGCCCCTCTCCCCAACTCCTGGTTCTCCCAGCCCGTGCTGGATCTTTTCCTCCACTCTTTGCACCCTTGGGTGTCAGGGACAGAATCCTTTCTGCCTCTTGCCCTGTTCTGCCTTCTTTTCTCCTTGGCTGTCCCCTGAGTTTCTTACAAGGATTCATGATGTGGCAGGCAGATCTTGAGGGCAGGCTTGGATGTCCCTGACTTGCTCGGGGCCAGTCTGGAGTCTCACTAGAGGAGGAAGGGGCTTGAGGGCCCATGCAGACACATTAGCCCTCTCCTCACAGTCCCATGATTTTCCATCTCTCTTTGCTGGGACAAGCAGGCCTGGAGGGTCCAAACCCACCTCCCTTTGAACCCATCGCCCCTGGGGAACTGGATGGAATAGAGGTGTCGGAAACTGCTCCAGGGACCTCAACACAGCTAGCATTTCTGTGAGTGCCACATTCAGAGAGAGGACAGTGGGTTCCTGGCAGTGAGCTCTGTCACCTGCCCTTTATCTCCCTTTCCTTTGCCATCTTTTGCTGTGCTCCTTGTGCATGGGAGAAGGAATACATGTCTGTGGCATAGGGGCAGGGCACTGGGACACAGAGAAGCTTTCCACCACCTCCGTGTTGCCCTCTGTCCTCTGTCCCCTCCTTCCTGGGGCCTGGTTTATTATTAGGCCTTGCTGGGTCATTTCAGCCTCAAGCCAGGGGGCTAAGGCATCTGGCCTTTGCCCTCTGATCCTGAACCTTTCTGTATCACTGTATCTTGCTATGTTATTGCTATGTCTGTCTACTGTTCCATGTGACCTTCTGACCATCCTCTCTGCCTTCCTTTCTCTCTGCTATGACTCTGTCTATTCTCTGCCCATTTGACTGCCTCTGTCTCTCCAGATATCTGTGTGTGTCATTCCATTGCTGGGACTCTCCTGCTCCAGTTCTCTGTCCAGGCCTGACAACTCTGGACCAAGGTTCACCCAAGGCCCTGGCCTGGGGGACTCCCAGGGGCCTGAGCTGTGTCAGAGAAGTAGGAGCAAGGAAGGAGGACGCAGCTGGTATGCCCCTGAGGGCAGGGACAGGTTTTATCCCTCTTCATATCTTCTGTGTTGAACACAGAAACTTGGTGGACATAGCAGGGTGTGCTGGTTGAATGAATGAGTGATGGAAGGAACAAATAAATGAAAGATGAGCAAGGCTGAACAAGAGAACCTGGCATGACCTGGGAAAGGTTTAAGGCTGCCAATGTACAGTGGTGTGGGGAAGTGGCCATTTTCTTTTGAACTGGCTCTCCAGAAAGGAGGGCAAGGGGACACTGTGACTTGGTTGGGTACTCCCACTCTCTGTGTCAACAAGGCAGAGCTACCTCCTCCATCTGGTGTGGTTAATGAATAAACCAGCCTATCCCAGAACTGGAGTTGATGGTCTGGGGGCCAGGCTGTCACAATAGACCCCTTGTGGCCAGATTAAACATCTCAGGTAGACTTCCTTAGAGAAGGGGCAACTTGGAAAACTAGGGTGTTGTGGGCATGTGGGCAGGGCATATACTCTCCCCACCAGCCAGGACTCCAATCCTCCTCTTCTCTGAGCAGAGGCTGGAGGGACCAAAGAGCCCTTTATAATCCCTGTTTCATGTTCCCTTCCCCAACCCACGGAGGTACAAATACAAATACTGAAGCCCAGGGTCGGGCAGCAAAGCCCCAGCAGACCCAGGTCTGGAAGCCAGATCTCCAGCTGTATGTTCTACGTATCTCCCCATTGCTGCTCCCTAGTTCTGCTCTCCACAATGGAGGAGGGGTTGGAGACAGTAAGCAAGCAGAGCTGGGGCCCAGGGAGGAGGTTATGGCTGTCCCAGGAGACCAGCACCCTGTTCCTGATCCTCCCAGTGCAGCCAGACAGAGCTCTGGGAGATGTGGAGAAGTGTCTGACCTCCCCATCCCCAAGACTCCAGGATTCTGAGGTTCCACACAACTAATTGCATTTCTGATCATCAGAACCCTTGCTTTCTGAGCCAAGCATTTTCCTCTAGCGTCTCATCTAATTTATTTCAGGCAAGTGCTGGGCAGTAGTGGGCTTGTCTTCAAGTTACAAATGAAAAAAATGAAGGCTCAGAGAGGGGATGTCAGTTGCCTAAGATCACACAGCAGCTAAGGCAGGAGCAGAATCCAAGGCAGTCTGTCTACAGAGTCTCTTCCCCTCTGTGCATGAGCCCACATCATTAGGCAACATTATGGCATTTAATCCATCAATAACTCTTTGAAGGACATGATGTTCTCATCATCCCAACCTTGTTTGATAGATGAGAAAGTCCAAAAAGGGGAGTGCCTTGTGCTGATTGGGCTACTCCAGGAGGCTGGGGCTGAATTGCAGTTGTTTGCTTAGCTTTGCCACTCCACCTCCCCCAGCCTGTGTCCTGCCCTGGGCCTGCCCCCTAAGTTGGGTTTGCCAGCTACCCCCTGGACATGTCCTGTGCTTGTGGTTCCACCTATCTATCTACTTGGTTGATTCCTTTTTCCTCATTTCCCTTCCCCAAGACATCTAATCTTCTCTCTGCCTCTAGGTCCAGAGGTCCCTAGAAGCCATTGTGACTCTGGATCCAGCAGCAGAGCAGGAAAGAGGGAAGGGGTTGCTGGAGGCCACTTTCAACTTGTCCCTTGCTCCTGGCCCCAGGCCTGTACCGTGCCCTGGCTACTGAAGATAAGGCAGATACCCCTCCTGCTGAACATGGATCCTGAGTCCAAGGCCAGGCTTCCCCTAGCTTCTATAGTCGGGAGAGAAAAGGGAAACCAGGAGGCTTTATCATGCAACCAGATCCATCTGCAGAAGTGACTGGGTTCAGTCCTGACTATGGGAACCTCTTGTAGTATGAGTGACCTTGAGTCATTTCTCCATTCATACCATTGAGCCCTCCTGGTTCTGAGTCTCTTTACTCAGTGACAATGTGAGGCCCATGGGAGAGATATGAGGAACTGGGGACATGAGATATCAGGGCCTGTCCAGCCCTGCCCTGGATGCCCATGTGCTCAGCTCCTCTTCCTGTCGCTGCATGCCCAGCCTGTATGAGAAGCAGAGGAAGAAACTTGGATGTTCCTCGGAGCTTCCCAGATTGTGGTAGAGAGATGTGTTCCAGGAGGTCCAGGTGATTCCTGACTCAGTACCTCCTGCCTGTGGCAGATGTTCATCGGCCACCAGCAGAAGCAGGCCTGGGACCTCATGTGAACCTGGGCCGCAACAGGAGTGGGCCAGGTGGCAGAGACCTAGAGGAACTTGGAACCTAGAGAAGGCGGGGAGGTCTCTTGGAGTTTGGCTGAGAACCTGAGGTTCCTCTTGCTACAGGAAGCTGGGTAGTGAGGACCTGTGTCCTCTGACTTCCTGTCCTGCGGCTTCTCTCCTTCCCCTTTGGAGACCGCTTCTGAGGCACCTCCCTGCCCTGCTTCACCATCCACCTGCCCCACACCATAAACTGTCTGGGTTCCAAGTCTGTGGGGCTCAGAAGCATTATGGAGAAGGCAGGGACTGGAGGGTCATATATTGATTGTGTACCATATACCAGGTGCTTTCTTCATGTCCTCTCACTGAGTCTTCATAACCATCCTGTAGGGTAGGTCGCATTAGCCTCCTGGAACAGATATGGAAACTGAGACTTGGAGCTAGAATTTACTTTTGCAAGGTCAAACAGTTAGAAAATGGCTGAAGCAGGATCAGAACTCAGGTCCTTGGATCTCTGAGGCCGAGCTTTCTACACCCCCTTGGGTGGTCCTGGCTATTACTCATTATACACCAGGATTGACTGGCTCACAATTTACTTCACTCTCCTATCTGGGGCTCCCTGTGCTATGCATTGTGGGACGGGAGCCTAGAGGAGACCCAGACAAGAGCCCAGCTCTCACTGAGTGACTTTGAGGGTTACTTCACCTCTCTGAGTCAGTCTTCCTATCAGTGGCAGGGGCAGAAATTAACCTAGTTTTAGGGATTTGGATTAAGTAAATCCCAATTTGGGCTTGGCCTGTGTCTCCTCTGGGGCTCCATTTCCCCATCTCCATAGGAGACTGTTGAGGAGTGATTTTTAGCCTAAGCTGAAAAGAGGCGTCTGTATTGCTGGACAAAGAGTGAGTAAAGGCAGATGACCAAGGCCTTGCCAGCTTGTGCCATCAGAGAGGTCCTTAGATAGGGGCCCTGAATCCAGCATTAGGCTGGCTGGCTCTAATTCTGACTTGGCATGGGGGCAACCGGAGGAAGTGGCAGGCTCCGCAGAGTGTATGGCCCCTGTTAGTCAGGCTCTCAGATGTATAGCGAGTGGGGACAGCGGACACTTGCCCCCTGGGTACAAGTCCAAGGGAGTGCCAGAAGAGGCATAGAATGAAATTCAGAGGCACCACAAATATGAAAGGCGCTTGATTGAGGTAGCGAGACAAGAGGGGGAAGGTGTTTCTGCTGACCTTGCCACTATCCACATCTACTCATCTTTCAATTGGCAGGTCTGCAATTTAGAAATTGCCCCTGGGTGCTCATTAGCCTAGCTGTTCTCCTGCAGGGTGTGGACCTTCTGGCTGGGGGTGTTCAGAAGGGAAAGATTAGAAGTGGCTGAAGGTTTTAGAGAAGGCTTCCTGGAGGAGAGGTGTGGGATGGATGGAGGATATTAGGGATTCAGTGATGTGACCCTGGATGGGCTGCTG